CTGGTATTGGCTTGGTTGACTTTCAGTAGAATACACTTTTCAAAATTAAAAAAGCATGAAAAGAAAATCTTCCTAAACCAGGTGGTATGTCCTAACCTGATAGACTTTTGTGTAATTAAATACTATCATGCCAATTACCTTTGAATCACCATTTATTTTTTATTAATGATAATCATAATGAAAAAGTATTGTGTTTAATCATGTGAAGGCATGTTCTTATCTATCTATCATCTATTTTTTATACATCTATGTATCTCTCTAGCCATCCACCCATCTATTTAATGTGACATAAATCATAAAAGCAACCTTAGAAGGCAGATACTGCTAGGATCCATTTCATAGATGTGCAGACCGAGGTCCACAGAGATTAAATTGTCCTTGTTGACTTAATAATGTACTTGTAAGTTGAAGGGCTGAGAGTAGAACCCAGCAATGTGGTGCCAAAATTATGCTCTTAATCCCTACACTTCTCCAAAATGAGAAATGCAATGGCTATTGCTCATTCACAGACACTTAAAATATATGGTGATGGAGAGTAACATGAAAAATTACTTTCTCAACTCGAAATCTACATACTGAAGGAGCATAAAAAAGAAATCTTACTCTTCTGACACTGAATAAATTTAATTAATTATTCAAATGTTTAATGGCTCCTTTTTGGTTCTGAAATCATTGCAATTGGTCATTTATCAAATATTCTGAAAAGGTAACGCTTGGAGTGGGCTGTGAAAAACATGTATATAAAATAACTGATCAATCCAACCTTAGCGAGAAGAACTATGCCAACGAGCAAATGCATCACAATTTTCTTGTTAATAACCTGAAAGAGCATGAGTAAGAGAAAATAAAAACTTTACATTTGTTGTTTTCAACCTGACTCCAGAGGTTAAGGGAAAAAAAAGAAAAAGCTGTTACTGAACCCAACCCTAACCTCTGTGGCAGGAGAGAGGCTGAGAGAGCCCAGCGGTGCGGCCAGGTTCTTGGCTGTGGGTCCTCACGGGCAGGAGGCAGCCTGGCTGGCTGGCATGGGCTGACCTGCAGGGCCTCACGCATGCCCGCACTGGTGTGTCCTAACAGGCAGCTCTGGACAGCCCGGCAGGTAGAGGGCGACCTGCAGGAGCCGCGGAGGGCGGAGGGCCACAGAGCCTCCTGGTCTCCTGGTCATGTCTCTGGCCTCTGACATTCTGAGGGCCCTGGCCAGCAGACACAGTGGGCGCAGGGAGAGTCCCTACTCAAGGCCAACCCGGCCGTGCGGACACCATCCTTCCACGACCGAATAACGCTGCTCACTGACATGAGGAGGAGACAGCGGATCTGAAACCAGTGGCCAACACATGCCATGTTAAACCCGCAGGACAGAGTCGCTCTCTATGCCTCACCACCCAGTTTCCAGCAGCAGAGCTCCTCCCAGCAAAGGCTGCTCGGCCGGACCTAGGCCCGACAGGAGTGAGTGAGCCCTAACGCAGTTAAAGGAACACGAAGCAGGAAAAGCAGAGGAAATAGTTGCACTCAAGATTCATAGCATTTGTCATAAAATATCCTTTTGAAATCCAGAATCTCTCTTCTCTCTTTAATTAAAAACAACAAAATCATCTTTCCTTTATTAATATTTTTGTCACAATAAAAGTGCCAGGCAGAGGGCAGACACTCTCTTTGGACCCTCTCCGCCTGCCAGTCTCTCCTATGCCTTGATAAGTGCACCAGACAATTACGTTTTGATTTTACGTTAAATTGGCTTCAAATAATTTCCGCATTAGAAATGTGTGCTATTGTTTTATAAAAACAATAAAAATATGTTGCTCAATTATTTAACATTTGATAAGCTGTCAAGTTGGTGAAAGTTAGTAGCATCACAAACTATTCAAATCTCACCACGAAAAGGTCTGCAGCGTAAAACCAAAACAAAACCACCCGGATCCGGAGTCCCGCGAAGACAAGGAAAGTTTTCTGGCGACAAAATGACCTTTCGGAGCTTACATCGGGGCCCTGTGCCCACAGGCTGTCACCCGCAGTGACCGGCACCGCCTGCCCCGGTCATGCCAGCGACACACCCTGTGCCCTGCGAAGTCCTCCGCAGCGGCGGCCCCGAGGTGGACCAGACCCCAGGCCAACCTTTGAACACGCACACCGAGAAGATGGCCCAGGGCGGGCGCCGGCTCCCCGCAGAGAGAGGGCCCAACTGCATGTCCCCCGCCTGACCCACCTCAGCTGCACGCATCCCCGTGTGCTTCTTAAAAACAAAAACAACCAACCAGTGTGCACGCTCTCTCCCGGACCAGGCTTCCTCCACCCATGACACACACCTCTGGCTCTGAGACTGACAATTTCCCGTGTTGGTGCTCTTAGAAACCAGACTGGAAAGAGTTAGCATGAATGCCTCCACCCACCCTCCCACCTCCAGGAGAAAAGGAGAGACTTCAAACCTTAACTTGGGATGGGGTTCCCGCCTGGCGATGCTGCTGAGGAAGAGAGCACTGCAATCTCAGTGAGCCCGGAGGCTCTCCCAGAGCTCCCTCCACCTGCAGCCTGGGTGCGCCCAGGACGGGGTGCGCCCAGGACGGGGTGCTCCCAGGACGGGGTGCGCCCAGGACGGGGTGCTCCCAGGACTGGGTGCTCCCAGGACGGGGTGCGCCCAGGACGGGGTGCTCCCAGGACTGGGTGCTCTCAGGATGGGGTGAGCCCAGGACGGGGTGCGCCCAGGACGGGGTGCTCCCAGGACGCGGTGCTCAGAGCTCCACACTGAGGACACCACCTGTTCACGCAGGCCCCCCTTGACCGTCGCCCACAGGAAGCCTGGCCCGCTTCGTACTGGAGCAGGAGGAGCACCAGCTGTGCCCGCTCTAAAGAAGACGCAAGGGCCTGTCTCCCATCAGGGTTTCCTGCTGCAAGAAGCAGCTAATAAAAGTGCCAGGCAGAGGGCAGACACTCCCTTTGGACCCTCTCCGCCTGCCAGTCTCTCCAGGGGCTGACCCAACCAGCGGCCACACTCAGGACTGGAAAGGGAGCCGTTACCCTTCACTATCCTAACCCCAAGGAAGGCCATGCCCGAGCGCTGTGAAGAAAACTGCTTGGGGAAAACACAAATCATGAGAGACAATCTCTAAATCATCACAAATCTCCATTAGAAAAGCTTTCTACATTTCAGAGGACACTCACTTCTAATCTTTCAATAATTAAGCCTTTGCATAGTATAGTAAATATGGGTGGAATAACTTAAAAGCTCTAAAAATGGGAAAATACCTATTTTTTCCATAAACCACTCCTCCATATATCTTGAAAAAAGAGAAGATATAATGGAAATTTAAAAATATTTTTTGTAAAAGCATAACTTTTTCTTGCATAATAATATCTGCACTGACTGAGGGATTCCAACTATGAAGAGATACAATCAAATGAATGTTTAGCCTCAAAAGGGAAATTATTCATCATGAAAACACTGATGCTACCCCCAAGGATGTCTGCCAGCAGGCCTCCCTGCTGCAGACCTCCCGCGCCCCACCCACCCCCATCCCCCCCCAGCACCAGCTGCTTATAAGACTGTACCTGACAGCCTGCCACCTTCTTCCTCCAGCCCATGCACTCACTCCATCCTCCTCTCAGCCACATGGCCTCCTGATTTAAATTTGCCCCGAGCCTCCATCCGTGGCATGTAACTCCCTAAGTTTGCATTTGCCATCATGAACCGTCTGACACTCAGCACTTCCCATCTCTCTTCCGATCCAGAAAAACAAAGTGGTATTTTTCAAAGGGTTCACCCTCCTTGGTTTTCAAGTTGGGGTTTTTGCATAATATCATCATCCTTAACATCTGTAAACTTCTTTCACTCATTCAATAATAGTTGTTACTTTTTCAAATACTGTTTCTCTACCACCCACACTTACTGCGCCGCCCTGAGCATGGTTTCCAGAAACCCAGAGGAAGTACCGGCAGCACGTGCCCTCGCACCTGGACTCGGGCACTTTGCACGTCAGTCTGTTCAGGGAAACTGTTCAAATGCTGTGCAACAGGTCCTGCTATTGTGCAAACACACGCCCAACAAAGTGGCCATGAGCTTGGAAGGGTCAGCAGCATAAGAAAAAACATGCCAGGATCCTTCAGACTCCTTCCTAATTCTCCTGAGATGTCAGGAGGCAGGCCCAGTGAACCGCAGCATTTTCTGTGAGACCCTCTCGCTGCTTCTCCATCCTGTGCACGGTGAGCCTACGGAGCCCAGGCGGACACCAGCTTCCAGCGGCTTCGGTGCCAGTGCCGGCCAGCAGGCCACTTCGGCAGAGGTCTAAGTCCTTGCCCCTAAGTGCCCTCGGGCTTTGGGTCTGTGATTCCAGCGCTGTCCAGGCAAAGCCCAGGACAGTCCAAAACCTGGCTGTTTTGCCAGAGGAGTGTGAAATCAAATTAAAAACACACCTCACAACTATTCCATTGGGCCACGTTGATGTTCTAGGCGGGGGAGGGGAGGAGGACACACAAAACGGGCCCATGCCACGTCCTCCGTGTCTCCAGCTCCAGGTCCCCGGCATTAACTTAGGTCTAAACAGAAAACGCCTCCGTCTGGTCAAGTGTTTTGTCACAAAGCGGCGCAATTACCCAGAGCAAGTGTCCCCCTGCCCTCGGATGTGATGCTAACCTCCTTTGTTAGACTCGGACGGGAAAGGTTCCCTTCCCGGAACAATGCCCAGGCGGCCGGCATGCCAGACGCCCGTCCTGGTCCTGCGTCCTGCGTCCTGAGCGGTTGGTTCACCCTGACCTGGAGCTGAGCTGCCTCCCTGAGCCCGCGACAGCCTCTCCCGGTGGCAGCGGGACGCACCGCTCAAAGCATCCTTTGTGCCGCGGGGATAACGGACTTGGTCTGCGCGAATCCATCACCGAGATGGAGAAGCGCAACTAGGTCTGCCTGGCTGGAGGGGACGCCGTGCAGACCCAGCGGATCTGGGCAGCCAGCACCCGGGGACTCCAGCGTGTCAGGAGCGGCCCAGCCGGGAAGGCGGCCGCCTGGTCCTTACCTCCACATTGAAATACTGCTCCGCTCCGCAGACGGCAGCACATACAATCCACAGCAAGGTTTGCAAGAAAACCGTCCCCGAGGGATGCAGGACGTCCAGCCGCCTTCCAGCGCCCAGGGCGAGGAGGATCATAGTGGACCGCGCTCCAGGGACGCGCGAGCTCCCGGCGCGGCCCCCTTTCCCTCCGTTTCCTTCCGAAGTCCCGGTGGGAAGAGCCCGCGGGTTCTCGGCCGCCGCCGGGCTGGGCCGCGCTCGGCAGCCCGAGCCACGCAGGCAGGTCAGCGGCGGCCCGCGGTCACCATCGCTGCCGAGTGCCCGGCCCGGCCCCGCGCCGCGTCCCGCCCGCGCCTGCCCCGCGTGCGCCGGCCCCGCCGCCTCCGGCTGGGCTCCTGCGGAAGGGCCTCCGCGGCGCGCGTCCCCCGGAACGTTCCTCCATCTGCATAGCTCCGCCCCCTGCCTTCCCGCGGGTCCGCGGCGCCGGCGGGCGGGGGCGCGCGCGCACACTGCCTGGCGCGGGCACACATACAGCTGCACGCACGCGAGCACGCACATCTCACACACAGACACACACAGATCTGCACGGCAGCCCACACAGCCAGGCGCACGCGCACACACATCTGAACACACACCCACATCTGTGCGCGCACACGTACACACACACACACACACACACACACACACACACAGGCACAGTAGGACGCCCACGGCCGAGCACGCGCGTCTAAGGGGATGCTGGGGGGAGCCTGCACTGCACGCGCTTTGGAGGCGACAGGGCCCGGGGGGGAGGGGGGGGAGGGAGGATGGGGAGGTGCTCTTGAACAGACCTCCATCCCTACCCCGCGGCAGGCCGGTCACCTCGCCCAGCGCACCTAGCCCTTAGAAGCCGGGTGCCCATCCTGCCTGGGGCCTCAGGCGCAAGGGGGAGCAGCCCTACCTAGTCCTGGAAGCCACCGTGTCCCCCGTGCAGCGGCCAGAAGGTGGGGTTGGTCAAGTTTGGGATGCAGGATTGCAAGTCCTAGCGGCCAAACTTTTGTGGGGTCTAACGACCGAGCCTGTGGCCTGTTGTCCCCCCGAGTCCCCTCCAACATCGCCACGCCCGGCCCCCGGACTCCAGGGATGGGCACGGGGTTGGGGGCAGGGGCTAGAACACAGACGGGAGAAAATGCTCACTTTCTGAGGCGCGTCCGGTCGGTGAACACACCTGCGCACTGGATCCAGGAGTGGTCCTAGGTGCGCGCCCTCGGGGAAGGGGCGGGGCGCGCTGGGCGGGAGCGGGGGCGCGGCCTGAACGCCGACCGCAGCCCGGGTGGGGAGGAAGGTTGTAGGAAGGCTGTAGCGGGAGGAGGGCGTTGCCCGAGTGGGGGAGGGACTACTGCTGGGGGCTCCCAGGCGGGGTTCGGGGGTGGGGGGGGGCTGCCGCGGGCGGCGGGGGCGGGGGCGAGGGCGGGGGCGGGGGCGAGGAGAGCGGCAGTCCTGGTGGGAAGTCCTCCATCAGGGTGGGCGGACCTCCAGGGGCTGCCTACAGGCCGGAGCCGCGGCAGTGGAGGCTGGGACCGGCAGCCCAGGCGGGTGAGGGTCCGGCGGGAGGTGCGGAGGAGGAGAGGCGGCAGGCACGTGCGTGGGGCCAGGCCCGCAGAGCGGCAGCGGGCGCGGGGGAAGGCGGCGCGGTGGCCAATAAAGCGGCCCCAGGTGAGGCGGACAGAAGGCCGGGGCCTGTGGCAGGGCCAGCAGTGAAGCGCATTAGAGCTGCAAGAGGTCAGGCTCGGTAAGCAGATGGAAAACGTTGAAAACACCTCCAGAAATTGCAGTGCAAGGTAGTAATTTATATCCTAAAAAGAAATACAATAAGCTGAGGAATGGGACTGTGCAGCTAAGGCTTTAAAATCTGTAGGAAATATGACCCGCCCAGTGTGGCCCAGCTTCTAGGGCGCCTTTCCCGAGAGTCCGCTCTGTGCAGGCGGGTCCTGTGGGCAAGAGAAGCCGTGATCCAGGAGCCCTGACGCCGACGCACAGCATGTGGAATCCAGTCTCCACGCGGGCAACTCCTTTCCTTCGCGATCTCCGAGGTGGCGGTTCACAGGCGGGCAGGACTCCCACCCGCTTTCCCATTCCGAGGGCAGTGCGTTCCACTCCACTGTCCACATAGAAAATAGGTCTGCTTTGAAGTTTTACAACCCACAGGTTAAGACAACTTACAGAAAAGCGAAATAGAGGGCGACACCGAAAACATGGGAGTTACAGAGAAGTTGCCTGCTGCCCTGTGTACATAAGGTAACAAAGTGTGGGCGGAGCATTTGTCAATCAATCAAGAATCTACAAGGTTAAAATGAGGGGGAAGAGATACAAGAAAAATATGTCCACCTGGCAAACTGCAAAATTAGGGAAGAGCCGGAAAAAAGTTTATACATTGCACCTGACAAAGTGCAAAATGGCGGGAAGAGTTGCAGAGAAAAGGTCATGCTCGTCCTAACCCCGATCTGGGGGCGGAGGGGGCAGCAGGATGGACAGGAGATGCAGAAGGAACCGCCTCGTGCTGAGTGAGCGATGACAGGAGACTTGACTGGAAGCGAGTGCAAGGTGCAGGCCACGCCTTCAGGAGGGGGGCCTCCCAGCACAGGAGCCTGTCAGTCAGAGACCCCCATCCCAGCCCAGAGCAGAGGCTGGCATCAGTGTCACGGAGGAGGCGATACCGGGAGGGCTTGCCAGGAATCACTGAGTGACATCTGATCAACTGGCAAACAAGGGCTGATAACCCCTTGAGAGGACTCAGTGTCCAAGGAGGATTAGCGTAGACTGGCCCGGGAACGCCTGCGTGAGAGCAGTTAAAGGGCGAGTCCACGGTGCCCTTGGGACCTGTGCTTTCCAGCAGCCTCCCTCAGGGAAATGAAAGTAGGGAGTCCTAAATTCAAGAAATAATCTCAGTTAGTGGTGAGTACTAATGGTAATTTTTTACAAACATTTATCACATTCATTCGTCTGCATTTAGTGAGCAATGAATGTGTCAAGAAATGTTCAAGGTTCTAGAAATACTAATAGAAATAAAATTATGAGAGAGACACATGCCTTGTGGTAAGGGCTTGGGCATTACGAACGCAGGACTCAGAGGAGGGAGAGGAAGGAGTGGTGGCCCTGAGGCCCTTGAGGAAGCAGCGTGCTCAGGGGTGTCTTGAAGACAGTAGAGACCCCCAGTGGGCCAGAAAGGAGGCCGTTCCAGGTCCGCAGGACGGAGGGGTAGACACGCCAGCTGTGCCTGGACCACACAGATGCTCTGTCAGCATGGAGGCCAAGGTGTGGACAGCCAGGACGAGGGCACAGGGTGCACACGTGTGCAGAGTCCCCGGCGCCACTTTAGGCCTGCGACTTCTCCCTACAGCAAGCATGTCTAACTTGCAGCTCACAGGCTGTATGCAGCCCACAACGAATATTTTTGCGGCCCAGCCAATATAATGGCATGTAAGAAACGTTTTAATTAAAATTTCGTAACTTAATTTTTACAATATCCTGTTATACATAATTATTAATAATGAACTACAACGTTCACTAATGACTGGTTACTATCATCATGTTGCATTCATTTCCCTTACATGCCTTATGCGCAGGTGCACCATTTCTCTCCACTAATACTGGCAGCGAATATTTTAGCAGTCATTAGTTTTGGACTGACTTATTTGGTGTGCGCAACAGGAAAGATTTCCCTTTCGGAGAGCAAGAAAAATAGGTTTATTTGTGTTACGCTTATTAATTTGTGCAGTTATTCAGTGTCTGGTAAGTTAATGTTCAAGAAAAAATATTAATTTTTATTAAAATGTTCTGTTATTTATGTGAACGATGACTCATTTGTGTCAGCCCTTTGCATTCAGCATGTCTCTATCAAAATAAACCTACGTTTCTATGGAAATCGAAGCTTTTGTTTGTGGCCACAGACACTTACACCTTGTTCGTTGGGCCCCTGGTGGCCTTGGAGTGTGACATGCTTGCCCCACAAGGATTCTTGGGAGGTGACCAATGACTCAGCACCACCTTTGCTGTGTGTTTGCCAACTCCGGAAAGAGCACCTTCTAGAAGCTGTCCCATGTTTCACTTCCTGTCATATCTACTGTCTTTGTAGACCTCCCATCTGTGCTAGTCCAGAAGCCTGATGCTCCCCCTCCCCACCGGGACTCGGCTGGTACCTGTGCAAAGGGAACCCCTGTCGGTGTCGTCCCGTCTCTGGGTTGTTAGTCCGGCTTGTGTTCTCGGTGAAGAATGAGGAAGCTCCTTGGATCTCAGTGGTGGAGCTTCTCTGTGGCTGACCTTGGAGAAGGACTCGCTGCCCAGCACAGTCAGCTACCAGGTCGACCATCGCCTGCCCTTCAGAGGCTAATGGATTCTCTCAACTCCGAGCTCTGCCCCATGTGTGTCCTCTCCCTTTCTTCTCACAATTTGCACAACCAAGGTGACTCTCAGAACTCCAGGTGAGTGGCATGTCGGGAAGTGGAGGAATTGTAACGACTTCATTTTGGAGGGAAATAATATTACAATTGTCATTGGACCAGATTTCGTAATACAATAGAGCCTTGGAGGTGAGGGCCACAGCTTGGAAGTCACATAAACGTTTTCCTCTACCACCTCCATTGCGGGCCTCGCCCCTGCTGGCACCACTAGAGCTGGTGGTGTCGTTGGAAAGCCGGCACACGTCGGAATAGCCTGAGCCGCGGGCGTCTCGCGGTCTGCACGGAGCAGGACTGCGCACAGTGGACCGTCACCTGGAGCCTGCGTGTAAGGGGGCTCCCCTGGGGTCTTGTCAGGAATGCTGACTCCCTGGCCCCCCGGGACTGGGGCCCCACACACAGGTGAGAGGCGGAAGGGGGCTGTCCTCGCCACCTTGACGATGGTACACTCTGCTGGTGTCCTTCCTGGACTGACGCTCTTTGCACCTCCATGTTTGAGTGTCACTCAAATATTTGACTTTCTGCTCATTTACTTGCCCATCCATCGCTCCCTGGACACCCACTGGTGTGAACGGCCAAGCGCTGAACAGGAGGACGGGATGCGTGCAGGAGGTTACCGCCCACCACATCAGTTTGCTTAGGGCCAAAGACAGAGAATGAAGTCTTGGACTTTAAACTTGTTTCCATCAACTTGAACTTACCATCAACATAAACGAAGAGCTGTCAGGAAAAACACAGAGAAAGGTTTTAGCAAAGTGAGTGAACAGCAATGGCTCCGGCGCCTCCAGTTTCCTCATTGTGGGGCCGAGGTCTGAGGTGGCCGGGGAGCCTGAGGGCCCAGCACATGAGAGGAGAGAAGGAACTGTGGGCGCATCGCCTCACCCTGTCAGGCTGGGGGCCCCTGTCCATGCCCAGAGCTGCCCGTCACCCTGCAGGCCCTCCACGGGCTCTGCATCGCACTCAGGACCTGTTCCCAGGGTCCCCCTGGGTCTG